TGAAAATGTGTGCTTCATCCTGCTTTCTCTTTGTTTCCTCCCCACTCTCATATATGTGGCAGCACGACAGTGACATATCAGCTTACACTTATGAACGTACTCTGATGATGGAGCAAAGGTCCCAGATGCTCCGGCACATGCGACTCTCCAAAACGGAGCGGGACAGAGAGGTGAGACCTTGAGGCAGTAATCTAATCCTGGCCTATGAAATCTGTCACTGAAAGGAATGATACTGTATTGTTTTTATGAGATGATAGATTTTTTTCTTCTCACGTTATCAGTTATTCCCCTATAGTCACATTATTGTTTCAAAATAGAGCTGTGTTGGACCTTCCGCAGGCACAGTTGGTGAAAGACCGGAATTCAATGCTACGACTGACCAGCATTGGCTCTGATGAGGATGAAGAGACAGAAACCTATCAGGAGAAGGTACACATGACTTGGACGAAAGACAAGTACATGGCATCCCGGGGGCAAAGGGCCAAGTCAATGGAAGGATTCCAGGACCTGCTTAACATGCGTCCGTAAGTTTTCCAGCTCACAAGCTTATCACATAACAGGATCCTAATCAGTGCCATGGATGCACCTTTGCCAGGATACACAGGATGGAATCTGTTCATTTTACCCCAAATCCAGCCATCTCTCTGTTGTTTGCCTATGCATACCAGCTACCAATTAACACTGTACACAAGGTAACCATCCTTCTTTATACTGTGTTCCTGGTATAAACAAGCAAACATAGAGTGAGAAAACCCAAGGTGTTAATATTATAAGGAAGTCATTTTGTTCATTATATCATTCATACTCAAAGCAAAAAGCTCCATATCTCAAGTTTTGTAAGGTTGTTGATGATATGCCTAGTTTTCTGTTTGCCTTAACCACCTCTCCCCCCCTTCTTCCCCTTTCCCTCTGCAGGGACCAGTCCAATGTGAGGCGGATGCATACAGCAGTGAAGCTCAATGAGGTCATAGTTAACAAGTCCCATGAAGCAAAGTTGGTTTTGTTGAATATGCCAGGGCCACCCCGAAACCCTGAGGGTGATGAAAACTGTATCCTTTCCAAGAATGGAGCTACCAGTAGGGAAAATATTAGTTTGCTTTTTATTTTATTTTTATTGATTCCAGAGAGGAAGAGGGAGATAGAAACATCAATGATGAGAATCATTGATTGGCTGCTCCCTGCTTAACCCCCACTGGGGATAGAGCCCAAAACCCAAGCATGTGCCCTGACGGGAAATCAAACCATGACCTCCTGAGCCACACTGGCCGGGCTTAGCTTGCTTTTTAGATGTGACTACTTGGCCGCTATAAAAGTGATTGCTCCTGCCAAAATTTTCCTCTTGAAGAGGGAGACTTTTAAAAGCCTTATCATACAGGGATTCTTACAAAGCAGTGAGATTAATCTTTTAAGGAGTTGGGGTTATATGTTCTCTCTGAAGCCTAAAGAGACTGCTTTTAAGTGGTATATTTGCAACATTACTTCTAATACTGTGTATGGAACCCTTTCTGACAATCCCAGAGACAGAATACCCATATCCTTCCTCCTTTTCAGGCTCTACCCACTTGCAAAGCCTCTTTCTTTTGGATGGCATTAGGGGAGAAGCAGCTGAAGTGGACCCTCCTCTGAGGGGAAAAAAGAGATAAAAGGAAAAAAACCCAGGATTTTTTGAGACCACTTCAGCACTGCAGTGGTGACACCTGACCCATTCCCACCAGTATCATTAAGGAAGAGAGTTTTTAAAAAGGAAAAAAGAGCTGGCAGAAAAATTCTACTTGAGCAGCTTCACTTAGAAAACTTGGGTTCTCTAGAAATCTTAACGAGCTGCCCTGTTGTGGCTTTTCCTTTTTTGGCTTATTTTGCTTCATAATATTTTACACATTACTTGTGTGTTTTCCCTATTTAAAAAAAAAAATATTTAGAAAAAAAAATATAACAAGTGGAAAAATCCTTCCATATGCTAAAGGACTAGATCCCTGGATTAATTCACAGGGTGAAACTGAATTACAAAGTACAGTCTTCCAATTCTGAGTATGCAATAATTAACAAAAGCATGTTGATTTTTTTGGCTTTGTAATCAGATAAACTCTGATTATCATGGTGTAGGTTGTAAAGTGTGCTCTTCTTCTGCCTTTGTCTCCTTGACAAATTCTGAAGACATGGAGTTCCTGGAAGTGCTCACCGAGGGACTAGAGCGAGTCCTCCTTGTCCGAGGTGGTGGCAGTGAAGTGATCACCATTTATTCGTAATTTCCTCCTGAATGACTCTGCTTGGCTTCATGTTTCCCAAAAGGCTTCCATCCTCCCATGAGTGCCAGCTCTTTACTACCAGTCCCATTAACTAGAGGCCTGTGTCCTATACACATCATCTGAGTGAATTCTTGACAAGCTGAGCCTCAAGTACTTGTGCAAAAACGTAACAGTTCTGCTTTTTGCTCTCATATGATCTGCCCCCCTTACAGAAGCAAATATTCCCTCAACATTAGAAAAATGGTCAATTACTAAAGCCATGTCTGTACCAGCTGAAGGCAAGTTAGAATTAACAAGCTAACCAATAAAATGAGTTGTCAGAAGGCATACCAGAAATTCAACCGAAGACAAAAAGCAAGTACATATCCAGCACTAAAGATTGAGTCTTGGAAGTCATGGTTCAACAGAGAAAAAACGTCATCATTCTAAGGCATTCATGGCCAAGTGTATGGGGACCTAACATCCTGGTGAAGATAACCTATGGCAAACCAAGATGAAAACCTTTTTAAGCTAATTTTCTGGAGTGTATCCACTGCTTTGCAGGACTCTAATTTTATATTAGGATACTGATATACAGAATCTGAAATATGGCTGCAGCTTCTACTTCGTCCTCCAAAACAAGATTTCCCCCCCAAAAGCAGTATATGTACACATACTGGGTTGTTGTATATTTCAGCTATTGGTTTTCAAACCCCACTCTGTGATTAAGATTGTAATGCAGGCAGCGTTAACATGGAAATTTTTAAACAGTGGAGTAGAAATTGTTTCTTTCAGGTACTTTTCAAATGGCCAAATTAAGGAAATTCTAAGATAGCTATTAAGAATTACTGGAATATAATCTGGTTATCTGTGTGACATGGGCAAAACAAACAAGCTGTTTTCTAAGAAATATAATGTACACTGACCAATAGGTTCACCTTTCCTTCTCTCTTTTATGTCCTCTGGGTTAGTAGACACAGGTCAAAAATCATAGGAACAAACACTAGGAAGCCTGGCTAAAATTCTTTCCTAAAAGGTTTCTATCTTTTCAAGGGGAAATCCAGCAATGGAATTCGAAGTTCTAGAGCCGTATTCCTTCAGTAGTGCCAAAGTTATTGAGATGCTGCTACTCGCTTACCTACTTCATTAAGGTGGCATACAATTGGCATTGGCCTATCAAGTAACTTCTTTCACTAAGAAACCTGTGGACTCATTTCTAAAGCCATAGTGAAGACTTGAGGCACTCATCTAAATGCCAAGTATGCCCATTTTCCTTTCCATTTTAATTTGCATTCTGACTGCAGAAACTTGGCTCTAAACTAGGAGACTGTCCAAGCCAATAGTCTTCTGCTATTTCAGTTTTGCTTTAGAACTTTAAGTATGTTATGGAAATACTTATGCAAGCTTAGCTTATTTGCTAATTTATTGATCACAAAAACACCTGTTTTCCAAGCATAACGAAATTATTCTGTGACTAAATGGTAATTTCAAATATATGTGGATAGGTTATTTAGAAAAACTATTTGCCTATATTTGTGGCTTTAGAATTTCACTTTACTGATCAATAGTGGCACTTTTTCGATTACCCATTAGGATATGGAGCAAGCTGACCTAGGTACCAGCAGACTATTCATTTGACCTTTACAGAGAAAACCCTTCAGTATGACTTAAGAAATTGAGTCATTTCAATGTATTCCTTTTACTTTTCTTTCAACCTTCAGGCCGTCATGGTAGCAAAACAGACAGAATTTTTGTCTTTTATTCTGCTCCTTCCTACAGAGGATAGAAGCATTATTTACTGCTTCCATTGCAACACTCCATTGTTTAGTTGAGTCCAGCAGTAGGACAGGTTCCCCAGGATTCAAAATATTGAAGATCCATGCTCTAAAGTCTGCCTGCCCAGGAATTCCTCTACATTTACACATACCTTCTGGCCAAAGTGATATTTATATGTATTTCCATATAGAAAAAAATATTGGCAGAATTAAGGTTAGTTTTAAAAGCATTTTGTGGTTAGAGCTCTATAAGAATCTTTTAAAGGGATAAGGGAATTCATGGCTATTAATATAGCCACTACTTCAGCCCCTAAATACAAAATCATTGTTACGTGGGAAAATGGTTATTAGGCCAGATTTAAACTCATCTCTATCTAGAGCATTTCATGTCTCTGTGTTGCTTATGTTGTTTGTCTACAAAGTATCTTGTCTCTTTTAATCACTGCAAATAAAGCAATACGGAAAACTTAATGAGAATGCACCTTAGGGGAAGGGGTTTTGTGTTTCAAGAAGAGAAAGAAAAGACCTCCTCCTGCCTTTTGAATAAGATCCAACTTTTAAGTCTTAGCTATGACTTTACCAGGGCAGGTTATAATAACATACATTTTCCAGTTACTGGCCCTCTGCCTTCTATAGCTTTCTTAAAAGCTGAAGTTTGAACTGCAGCATCTGCTTGACAGGTACCAGGTTCCTCTTGGCAGGGGAAAGATGCCTACTTTGTACCTTCCATTGCCTCAGATTCCTGTGGCCCCAACGATTCCTCCAATCCTCATTCCCCCTAAATGTATTAAAAACCCACTGTGGATATTAAAGTAGCAATTTACTGTAATTATATTTATGTGCTTTTTGTCTGGTTTATTTTTCTTTTCATCATGTATAATCAGAATCCAGCATTAGTTTCTCACACCTTCCACAAGTGTCTCCAACAGAAGTTTTATGTCCCAGCTTATGTTAAATAGAAGTGAAATATTAAGGAAAACAGATTTAAGGGAAACCTATATAATATTTTTAAAGCACTGTTCTTGACCATTTAATTTATTGAAAGGAGATGCTGCTGTGGTTCTTGGTTTAGCAGCAACTATTCTTTTGTTTACATAGTTACGGTTTTATTTGTTGTTGCTCTATACTGAAAACATAATAAAGTTTTCTACATTATTTTCAGTCAAGGGTTGTGGCATAGTTTCTTTGTGTTTGTAGTGATATATATATTATCTTTCTAGGATGTCTCCTCACCCTGGAAAAAAGGGTGTTTTCAGTTCTTTTCAGCACGAGTGATAATGTTAGGGGTGAATATGCTGAGGAGTCATCACTGGGGGTAAAGAAGGTTGTAAATGAGATCCAAATACATGGTCACCAGGTGCTGCTTTCTCAGGTTCACAAAAGCAGTCCACCACCACTGAACTCCATCCTCTGAAACAAGAAGAAGAGGTGAATGGGAATGAGCACTGAAATAACTTCCTGAATCAAGTACTTAATACTTTAACCACAAGTTATTTTATCCTTAAAAAATAACTTCCTGACTTCTAATGGATCTTATTTCTTAAGAAATGGGCTCTAGCCCTGGCTGGCATTGCTCAGTGATTACAGTATGAGCCCCACACACAGAAGGGTCAAGGGTTTAATTCCCAGTCAACGGCACCTACCTGGGTTGCAAATTCAATCCCTGGCCCAGGTCGGGAGGCAACCTATCAATGTGTCTCTCTCCCATCAATGTTTTTTTCTCTCTCTGTCTCTCTCTCTCTCTTTCCCCCCTTCACCCCCCTTTCATTCTCTCTTGGGAGAGGATTAAAAAGGAAATGTGCTCTAATACCAACTCTAATCCCTTACATCAAATGGATCAGCTATTTACTGTCTATTACAACTAGCCCCAAAGTTAACTTTTCTTTTGCCTTACCTCAGGAGGTTCAATGAAGGCTAACCAGTCTGATGCATGTGTAGGCAATAGTCCCATGGACTGGCACTTATAAACAGCCAATGCCAAACCCATGAGATTTCCAATGAGATACACCAAACCCTGAAGGAACTTCTGGCTTGAACTTTCTAGCATCTTGAAAGCTGTTGAGGTAACAAAGTGCCAAAACAACTTTTTAAAAAATTACGAATCGGGCACATATTAAGATATAAATAATACACACCAGCCCACAGTAAAATAGCAAATAGAACTAGTGAACAAAATCCATGATAAGCTCTGTTTTTCCCGCCATGTCACCACCACTACCATCACCGTCCTGCACACCCTCCCCGCTACGAGCCAAGAGCCATGCAAAGATTTCCAGTATGGGTTTTGCCTAAGAATTTACATTTAATTCTTAAAACTTTCATAAGGGTTATTAGTTCAAGAATACTTACTGGCTGAAATGGCCATAAGTGCCTGAATGGGTCGCCAAGCCATCATACACACCATCATAGTAGGAAAGATGGAGATAGTATTGCCTGCCATGTACATGATGAAGAGGTTCATGGGAATCTGTTTGAGGGGACCCAAGGCAATGTCCCAACAGCGCTAAAACAAAGACACAGTTTTAACCTCTGAGCACTACCCTCAGTCCCACATTTATTGTATCACTGATGTTAAAGTCAAATGAACACAATTTTCAATTTTGTGCATCTGACTGATCAATGATTCTCTCTCATCGATCCTTCTCCCTTCCTCTCTGAAATCAATAAAAATATTTTTAATTAAAAAAAAGAAAATAGATAAATCCACATAGTGAGAGATTAAGTGAGAGATTAGCATACCTCAATAACTAACAGACAAGTCAAGATATAGATTTGAAAGACATTAACAAACTGAACCCAACTGATATTTATAAAGCATTGCTCCCAACAGCTGCAGAATTCACACTGTTCTCAAACACACATGGGACATTTACAAAAACTGCCCACCTGCTAAGCCATGAAGGAAGTGTCAGTAACTCAAAGAACTCAAATTATACAAAGCATGTTCTTTGATTACCATGCAATCAAGCTAGAATTCAATAACATAGATAACCAAAAATCCATTATGAGTTGAAATTAACAAATGTACTTGAAATAATGCATGAATCAAAAGAAATTATAATGGAAAATATATTTTTAACTGATCAAAATACATTTTAACTGTGGAACATAGCTAGAACTCTGAGAAATTTATAGCTTTAAATACAGATTAGAACACTAAAATTAAAGTAAGCATCTATTTCAGTAAGTTAGAAAAAGAACAAATGAAAAGGAAGAAAATAATGATAGTAATTAGTGAAATTGTCGTTAAATCAAGCCGACGGTTGTTTTTTAAAAAATATTAATAACATCATACTGGTGAGCCTGATGAAGAAAAAAGGATGGAAGATAAAAATTCAACATCAGGAATGAAAAAGGGACATCTCTATAGGTTTTGCAAATATTACAGTGATCATACTATGAATTTTAGGAAATGGTACAATTCATAAAAAAAAAAAAAATACAACTTACCTAAATGGTATAAGAAATTGGAAATATAAATAATCCCATAACTGTTTTAAGAAACTGAATCTATAACTAAGCCCATCAGATGGTTTTCCTTGGCAAATTTCAAACATTTAAGGAAAAAATAAAGCCAATCTTATACAAACTTAGAAAATAAAAATGAACACTCTACAACTCATTACATGGAACCTCATAAATACCAAAACCTGACAAGGACATTATGAGAAAAGTTTATAGACCACTATCAGTCATAAACATAAATGCAAAAATCCTAAGCAAATCTAGCTATATAAAAATAATATACCACTATCCATTTGTGTTTACTCACATTAAAAGAATAAATGCCCATACTTGAAATTAAAGTTTCCCAATATGTAATTTACATAGATCATTTGTCTGTAAGTTTAAATATCAAATCATCCATACAACAGAACTAAAGAAGTATTTTATGATAATCTACCTTTAAAGTCAAGCCATGTTAATACTTTAACTATCATGTATTATGTTACAATTTGATACCAAGATGAAAAATGATACTTATCAAGAAAAAAATTGAGAATAGCTGTCATTTTCATGTTGTGAAAAATCACAGGAATTTTATGAAACGAATCGCTTAGTATTGAATCGCAAGGCTGAGGGGAAAGAAAGTGCAGGCACTGTTCTAGGCTTTTGGGAGACAAAAACCTGGAGCTTAAATTAATGAAAAGATGGGTAGTAAAATAAGTAAACTGTGTCACATATATGAATGACACGGAGAAATGTAAAGTGGGAAAACAGGATAGGGCGTGCCATGAGGGTAGGCTTCACTGATAAGAGAGCAAGCCATACAGGTGCTGCGGAAGAGTATTCCAGCAGAGGGAAAAACAGGTACACATATCCTTAGATGGGAACTTGCCTGGCATATGTGAGCAGCAGCAAGGAGGCTAATCTGACAAGACTGCAGTGAACAGAGGGGAAAGTGGTAGCCCTGGGCAGGTGGCTCAGTTGGTTGGAGAGTTGTCCCATACACCAAAAGGTTAATCGGGTTTGATCCCAGGTTGGGGCGCCTACACAGGAGGCAGCTCATCAATGTTTTTCTCTCCCATTGATGTTTCTCTCTCTCTCTCTCCTATTCTCTCTCTCTCTAAAAATCAATAAAAACATATCCTTGGTTGAGGATTAAAAAATAAAATTAGCTTTGGCCAGTGTGGCTCGGTTGGGTGTCATCTGGTGCACTGAAAGGTTGCGAGTTCCATTCCCAGTCAGGGCACATGCCTGGGTTTCAGGCTTGATTCCCAGTAGAAGGCGTAGAGGAGGCAGCCTATTGATGTTTCCCTCTCACATCGATGTTTCTCTCCCTCTCCCTTACTCTCTCTAAAAATCAATAAAAAAAATAATAAATACAGGGGAATGTGATAGGAGATTAAGTCAAAGATGTTACAAGGGGCTTAGTCAATATAGAGTTAGGTAGAACATTACAAAGACTTTTGCTTTTACAGTAAGTGAAATGAGCTACAGAAGAGTTTTAATAGGAATGATCTGACTCATGTTTTAAAAGGATCATAGTTCTGGCTGCTGTGCTGGGACTAGACTACAGGGGGAAGTAGACCAATTAGAAATCTGTGGCAGAGAGGGGCACAAGGAATCTTTTGGAGAAGAAGAAAATCTTCTTTCAAGATAGTCGTGGTTTCAAGGTGGTACACCACTATTAAAGCTCATCAGATTGTGCTCTTTAAAAATCAGTGGTTCTCAACAGAAGGGCGATTCACCTCCCTGGAGAAAGGTGGTAATGCTGGAGACATTTTGGTTGTCACAACTGGGGAAGGGCACATTTAGCATCTAATAGGTAGAGGCCAGGGGTTCTATTAAACACCCTGCAATGCACATACCGCTCCCACAACAATGAAGACATCTGGGTGAAGGATGGTAGTGGCTTAGACCAGGACGATAGGTGAAAGTAGTAAGAAGCAGTAAGATTTTGAATCTATTTTGAAGATAAAGCCAACAGAATATCCTGGCAGGTGATGTGGTGTAAGGAAATTAGAGGACAAAAGGATGACTTCAACTGAAAGGCATTGCCACCAATAAATACTTTTCAACCTACTTTCTTATGCCTTAGGTTCTAAATGTCTTTTCTTTTTCCAATTCTTAAGCACTTTTGGAGCTGATATGTAAACTACTGTTAACACACTACTCTCAAGCAGTTGAGCTACCAAAACATTCAGGATAAGGCCCATCTCCAGTAAGATATTCATGTGCTGTCCGGGAGAGAAGAGCGGGTGGGTGGGCCAGGACTAGCCCCCAAACGACGGCGACATCTATACCTCTGTACCTTCTCCACCAGGATCCGGTCCGTCTCTTGCACGCTGGTATCCGGCACTTGCTTGTCCAAGTAACCAACGGGGTACAGCGAGTCGCCCTGGCCACCGCCCCGGTCACTTCGGCCCCTAAAAAAGCAAACCAAGAAACAGGCTGCTCGCCCAGGAGGCATGGCTCAGTGGCTGAGCGTTGACCTATGAACCAGAAGGTCACGGTTGGATTCCCGTCAGGGCACGGCCCGGGGTTGTGGGCTTGATCCCCAGTGTGGGGCCTGCAGGAGGCAGCCAATCAATGATTCTCTCTCATCATTGGTGTTTCTCTCTATCCCTCTCCCTTCTCTAAAATCAATAAAAATATTTTTAAAAAAAGAAAAAATAAAGAAACTAAAGCTGTGGACTCCCACATTTCCTGTTCTGCTACCCATAGGAGTTAAGATCTTCAGGTGCACCTCCCAGATGCCATCAACCCCTCCTGCAGGTTCGTCAGAGCCCTGCCTATTGGGAAGACGGAACTACGCATCCTTTGGGCACAAAAACCGCCACGGCTTCCGCCGCTAGCTGCCCAGGAGCCGTCTTGGTGCCACCCATCCAGTCCAGGTTCCATGCCTCCGGGGCAGTTCTGGGGGCAAGGCCCTCCGCCCAGGCTCCTCACCTGCTGCCTCCTCCAGGCCCGCTCAGCTCAATGGCCCACTTGAACCGCCGGCCTCGGTTGGCCACCAGGCTGCCCTGGGCCGTCATGGCAATGGACGCCTCCTAACGCCGTGAAGCTGCCTGGTCTAAGCGGCACACGGAGCCCCAGCCCCACCAGCGTCCGCGACGTCCGGTCCCAGTCCGCAAGCCCACTTCCGGCGCGTGCGTAAACGTCACTTCCGGGGGCGGGCACAGAGTCCGTGGAAGTAGCCAGCGCGGCAGGTGAGAAAAGCTGCCTGAATTTAAATCTTCCTAAAGCGACTCCGGGCGCCCCTCCTTTTGGAAGAGGCCTGTTGTGTGTCCCCTGACCCCGAGGCGCCCTTTACGGGGCCGAGGGAAGGTCCGTACTGACTCTGCTTGAGGAGTTGAGGCCAAGAAAAGGTTTTCAGTTCCTCCGCCCTCCCGGGAATTACAAGATTCAGACAGAGCTCGCTTTATTTATTTGTTTTTTATCTTTTTTTTTAATCTTTTTTTTTAAATATATTTTATTGATTTTTTACAGAGAAGAAGGGAGAGGGATAGAGAGTTAGAAACTTCGATGAGAGAGAAACATCCATCAGCTGCCTCCTGCACACTCCCCACTGGGGATGTGCCCGCAACCCAGGTACATGCCCTTGACTGGAATCGAACCTGGGACCCTTCAGTCCGCAGGCGGACGCTCTATCCACTGAGCCAAACCAGTCAGGGCCAGAGCTCGCTTTAAATCCTGGTTTCACCACGGATGGTGTGGCCTTGAGTTATTTAGTAGCTTCCGAGTATTGGATGTCCACTGTGTTCCTGGAGCTTTGTGCTTATTATTTCATTTAAGTCTCACGGTAACCCTGGGAAGGAGGTAGTGGTATCCTCGTTCTGCACCAAAGCCAGGAGGCCGTGTGGAAGTGGGAAGGCTCGCTGGCCGAGGTTCAGATGGCCTCCTTTTGAATCCTGGCTTCATGACTGAATTTTGTGACCTTGGGCAAGTTCAACTGTGTATATTGCAAACCTCTTCATATGTAAAAGTTGAATAATGCACCTATTTTCAAAGTTTGTTGTGAGGAGGTTGAATGGTGGGCTCGCCACATACGCATGATGTGTTTTTCAATGTCATTAAATAATATACAACATTATTCTTACTGAGTGGGTTTTGTGTTCAGTTGTACACCTGTATCATAATTTGACTTATTATTGGATACTTAAGTTGTTTTCTGTTTTGTTTTTCCCTTTTATAACCCATGTTGCTGTGAACATCCTTGCACATCTTTCCTTATTTCCTTAAGTTAAATTATTAGAACTGTACTTGGTAGATCGGAGTATGCACGAAACACCCGCTTTAAAAAATTACATTAATTTATATTCCAGCCCTAGCTGGTTTGATTCAGTGGATAGAGCGTGGGCCTGTGGACTGAAGGGTCTGGGTTTGATTCTGGTCAAGGGCACATGCCCGGGTTGTGGGCTTGATGCCCAGTGGGGGCGTGTAGGAGGCAGCTGAGCGATGATTCTCATCATTAATGTTTCCATCTCTCTCTCCCTCTCCCTTCCTCTCTGAAATCAATAAAATAATATATTTTTTAAAACAAGAAAGTAACTGTAATACAAAACTGAGTATACTATAATTACACTATGTAAAATACATAAAGGGTAAAAATTAGAGGGGAGGGAGTACATAAAAATGTTATATATTCTGGTAATTTTGTGCAATATTGTCTGATTTTCAAGCTATTCTTGTCTTATTTTTTTAAAAAAATACGTATTTTTATTGATTTCAGGGAGGAAGGGCAAAGGAGAGAGAGAGATAGAAATGTCAATGATGAGAACCATTGTTCAGCTGTCTCCTGCACGCCCCCTACTGGGGATTGAGCCCACAACTCCGTCATGTGCCCTTGACTGGAATCAAACCCAGGACTCTTCAGTCCGAAGGCTCACACTCTATCCCCTGAGCCAAACCAGTTAGGGCTCTTGTCTTATTCCTTACAGGGGTCCTCAAACTACGGCCCGCAGGCCACATGCAAATACAAGTATTGTATTTGTTCCTGTTTTGTTTTTTTACTTCAAAATAAGATATGTGCAGTGTGCATAGGAATTTGTTCATAGTGTTTTTTTTAAAACTATACTTCGGCCCTCCAACGGTCTGAGGGACAGTGAACTGGCCCCCTGTTTAAAAAGTTTGAGGACCCCTGCCCGGGCTTAATAAATTTTAAAGGAACACTTTAAAACATTGTTAGTCACTTAAATCATATATTCCTTCCCTTTTAAAGTACTCCCCTACATGTCCTAACCAGTTTGGCTAAGTGGATAGTGCATTGGCCTGGGGACTGAAGGATCCTGAGTTCGATTCCAGTCAGGGCATGTACCTTGGTTGTGGGCTCCATTCCCATTAGGAGGCATGCAGGAGGTAGCTGATCAACTCATCAATGTTTCTAACTCTGTATCCCTCACTCTTCCTCTCTGTAAAATCAATAAAAATAAAATTTAAAATAATAATAAAGTACTCCCCTATAGCCCAAGCCGTTCCTTCTCTTTCCCCCCCCAGATGCGCTTTCTTTGCCTTTCTTTCTCCTAAGCTCTGTAACTTGTTTCCTGAGTCCATGCAGCCCAGCTGGCCCACTTCTACCTCTGTGACATCCTAAACTTTCACTTGCAAATTTGAAAATAAATTAATAAATAAATAAATAAAAATAAAGTACTCCCCTACTTCTTTAAAACAAGTTTAACTATAACCTGAATCAAAGTTGCTTTGGCCTCAATAGAGTATTCCAGATCTTTTATTCCTTTATCCTGGGAATCCTCATAGTGTTATTTGCTAAAACATATTCCAAAGAACATGAAGATTTAGGACTGAGCTGAGGAAGGATTCCAAGGTTAAATACTGCATATTGTATTTTGCATATACACCCCAGAGGTTCTCAGTGCTATTAGTATAACATTAAAATCACAAGAAATTATTCCATAAGAATATCCTTTAATTTTGTTTCCCAATGTATCTAAGTAAGAACCCTCTCCTTATTACATCTGTTAATGCCCAATGGAATCAACGTTCTGTAGAACACAGTGGGGACAACGCTGTATACAACAATTCAGGAGAAAGATGAAGGCACTCTATAAAACGTTGCTTGTTTTTTTTTATTATTATTATAAGAATATCATTAGGAAGAATCCTTTATGGAAATGGAGTTTTAACTTGGAATTAAACTTTTGGGGATTCCAGTTTTTGTACAAATTTTGTTTTGCAAGAAAAAATGAAGGAAAACCTAGATTCTAATCCTGACTCCTAATGAACTAACTACCTGAGTCACTTGAATTTGGAACTCTCTTGGCCTTAATTTCTTCATCTATAAAATGAGGGACTTATACTAATTAACTTCTAAGGCTACCTTCCAGTTCTAAAATGTATAATTTTTGCATATTTTGCATGTTATTTCATATACATAGAAAAATGACTCAATTGATAAACACATGAAGGAGTAATGGGATTTCAGAGCACTTTTTAAAATTGTACTTTCCCATACTTTTCCTAGTTCTCTGCACTGTGGATTTAGAAAAATATAAATATATGTTTTTAAAATATAATCATGTGTAGTGATGGCTGTTAACATAATTCATTGTGATAAATATATAGAGTATATTGGGTATATTTGCATTCAATTGAGAGTATGGGAAACAGTTTATTCTTGTATTATTATTTCTTAATTATTGTATTATTTTCCATACGAACAATTGTAAACCTACTTTTGCCCCACCCTGTATACATATATCAAATCATTAAGTTGTACCCCTAAAACTAATTCAATGTTACATGTAAATTATATCTTGATTAAAAATTTAAGAAAGAAAGAGAAAAATATCATTTTAATGAGGTAACATTGGTTAATAACATAAGTTTCAGGTGTACCAATTATAATTCAGTATCTGTATATACTATAGTACTAGAGGCCCAGTGCAATTCGTGCACAGGTAGGGTCTGGCCAGCCCACCCCAATTAGGGCTGGTCAGGCTGGCCGAGGGGAGGGGAAGCAGGAGGTTGGCCAGCCAGCCCTGCCCCCAAGGGGGGGGTAGTGAAGGGGGGGCCAGCTGTGGGGAGGGGCCGCGGGCAGTTGGTGGGCCGGCCCCACCCCCTGGTCAAACTCCCGGTTGAGGGGGCAATTTGCATATTAGACTTTTATTATATAGGACTAGAGGCCTGGTACACGAAATTTGTGCATGGGGAGGGTGTCCCTAAGCCTGGCCTGCACCTTCCAATCCAGGACCCCTCGGGAGATGTCCAACTACTGGTTTAGCCCTGATCCCTAAACCGGCAGTTGGACATCCCTCTCGCAATCCAGGACCGCTGGCTCCTAACCGCTCACCTGCCTGCCTGCCTGATCACCCCCAACTACTCTGCCTGTCTGCCTGATAGCCCCTAACCATCTTTGCCTGCCGGCCTAATCACCCCTAACTGCTCCCCTGCCTGCCTGGTCACCCTTAATAACCTCTGCTTGCTGGCCTGATCACCCCTAACTGCCTCTGCCTCAGCCCCTGCCACCATGGTTTTGTCCAGATGGATGTCTAGAAGATGTCTGGTCTAATTAGCATATTATCCTTTTATTAGTATAGATACTCACCACCCAAAGTCTAGTTTCTATCTGTCATCATACATTTGATATCCTTTACCCATTTCACCCTCTCTTCACCCAGTTATAACATGACATTCTAAACCTAGAAGCTTAATGGTTCTCTGTCCTGGAGTCACCGGAGACTCACTTTGGGACCTCTTAAAAATACTGATGCCTGGGCCACATCTCCAGTGATTCTAATCCATTTGCTTAAGGTGGAACATGGGCATCAAGTTTTTTATAGTTCTCCAGGTGATTCTCCTCAAGGACAGAGAAGCACTGACTAGAGCATATTGTTGCTTTAAAATAACAAGGTTTGAATTTACACAAAGTAATTTAAGCAAATAATCATTTTTTGAAAGCCTCCTGTATGCCTCCCACCGGACTAAACTTGAATTAGAAAATAATGGGAATACTGAAATTGTAAAAATATATGTTAAACTTTGCTTACTTTGTGCCTTTGAGCAAATATGGTTTTAATTACAGAAACTGAGAAGGTACACCATGATTCCATAGGTTATACCAGTTGTTTGACTTTTATAATTTATGCCACCTACACATTTTTTGTAATTGTGTTTGTATCTCACCCCTCTACCAC